TACGAGATATTGTTATAGACAAACTACCACATATCCACAAATACGAGGCAGATCGAAGGAGCTAAGTAGTTAACAGTTAGCAGGGAGAAGCACGTAGAGAGTACTCATAATCATACTACACAATCTACTCAGATTGCAAGCTATAATTTCTAGAGATTGGAAAATCGGCGATAAAAAACAACAATTTAAATGCGTCAAAATACTGCGGATTTCATATCGACTCTGCAAGCAATTAGTCGAAAATAGATGTCTCCACCTCCTCCAAATCAAATGCAGTGTTTCAAACGATTCTTGAATGCTTTTAAAAGAATTATTTCACGCACAATAAGTGTATGCATTCAATATCCTCACACTTGGGTTCAAAAAGTGTAAGGTCTACCGAATCATTGTCAACCAATACGGTCATCCGTTCCCTGCTAACTTATTCTTCAAAGTCGTGCCCTGCACGTATATCTAACCGCCTACATATAAAAAGGACTATCTAAAAAGCCAAAACGAATAACTCGTCCACACACCTGCGTGTCCGAATGCTGAGCGAGGCGGGCGGTGGACAGACGGCCGCGGCGAGATCCCACTCAACTCCGGAGCACCGCGCCCTCATACCAAAACATAACTTATTGTAGTCTTGGGCGGTCTGGCTCCGACTCAGAGCGGTTGCGTGCTCCACAGATGAAACACGACGCGATACTCACACACGACGACCCCTCCTCCACACCGCGACGTGCACGCGCACACGGTTTAGAGCTCTCTCTGCATATTGAAAGCCGGTGTCAGATATTTTCGATAGAGCGACAGTGCCACCTTTTATCACTTCACATAGTGTATAGGATAACAATGGCTTCTACGATTGGAAAGGCGCTGTTGACACCGGCAACAAAACGCCGCTCATCACATCAGTGTTGGCTCTCTGACGACCAGTCAAAGCCCACATGATATCGTCGAGAGACGGTGGTTCAGCTCCATAGACCGCTGCGCGCACACCTCACCAACATCCAAATCAAGTGCACAACTCTTCAAAAAATTTATTGAAGGCTCATCATGGCAACTAATTTGTAGAAATGAACATCTTGAACTAACCGAAACAATATAATGTCGTCCACTAATTATATCAGAAAAAAACAACTTACCTAATCCACGTGCTGCAACATCTGTAGCCAGCATAATCGGGGTTTTGCCAGCTTTGAACTCTGCAA